CTGATTTATAGAGTTTGCCAATTTCTGTGATGTAAATGCTCCCGCCGTGGCCAATAGGACTTTCTGTTGAATTGAGTAGGAGGTAAGAGGGGGACAAAAAGGATTTAAGAATGCTATCAAGGTCACTGTCACACTCCCAACTTTGTCATTACCAATAGCATGCTGCCTCCCAAACCCCTTATTCAGTTAACACACATTTCCTACGTTCCCCTTATCTACCCTGTTCTGGGCACCGGGAAGCAAAGACACCATTTAGGAGAGGGTGACTGGTAGTTGTGGAGGGGATGCAGATGATGATCACACCGCGTAATGTCTCTTGGAGAATAAAGAAATGCACAAGGTGCATACAAATGGGTATCATGAACCGTTGATTAGTAAGGTGCAGTCTGACATCCTCTGGGATGGAAGGATGGTAGCTGAGGAGTGTTTCAAACCAAAGATGCCCTTTTCATTTATTCCTCAACAAATAAAAGAAAAAAAGAAAGCACAGAGAAGGGTGGGGAATAACAGGGAAGGTAATAATAGACCAATGCTGGAATAGCAGATATTCTGGGAACAAGGCTACCAGTAAGTAAGGCGGAGTAAGAGGACAGGAGAGCCAGGGCTCCAGAGACCACTGGAGAAAAGTTGGGGGCAAAGGCTTAGCTGTTTCTACCCACCCCTTCCCCAAAACCCTTCCCCCCAGCTCTATCCAGGCTCCATAGATGTTGTGGAAAACTGAGAGCAGGTAGGTACACCAACCCCACCTGTTAATGATGTCTCTCTCTGTCTCTGTCTTTCTCTCTTTTTAGGTTTAGTGTTTTGATTTTGAAAATCAGATTTGGGCTCTGGTACATTCTGTAGGTAACAGTACCAACCCCCCCCCCCCCTTTTTAAACAATTTCCAATATTAGCCCTATAGTTACTCTGGCATCCAGGTAAATAAAGAGCCAAGATTTTATACAACGAATACAAACAAATCTCTCGACTGTGTTCTATCTTGCTGAACCCTAGGATAAGTTCAGACCCCGTTATGCCCATCAGAAGCTAGCCTGATTGGACTGGAATGGGGGAAATGACATCCGCTCACTAAACACTTAGTGTGTGTTGAGCACCAGGGACCATTATCATCCAGTGAAGCATGCACCCCAACAGCACAATGAAATGTGCTTTAAGTTACACAAGGGAAGTTGCCCTTGGCACTGTTGGCAGGGTGGAGTGTGTTAGGGCAGGCTTCCCAGAAGAGAGAACACCTGAGCAGACTTTTAAGGCAGCATAGAAATTGGCCAGGGGAACAAGATAGGGAAGGGCACTCCAGGCAGCAGGGAATAGAATGTGCTAAGGCAAAAGGGTATGTTTGAGAACTACAAGCTGTTTGCGAATCCTGCGGAATAAACAGCAAAACAGGAAGCACAGCTGAAAGCAGAACTAGCGGGAGGTCAGGTGCCAAGTTTATGACTTTACCCAAATTCGAGAGCAATCATGCACCGTCACAGGATTATAAAAGGAGAGGTATGGGGTGGAGGGGAAGGGAGGGGCCAAGCAAAGCTGATCAGATTTGTGTTTCACAAAGAAGACACTTTGGTGGTAACGTGGAAGGTCACCGGGAGGTGAGGTCACCAGGAGGTGGGGCAGGAGGCCTTGGAGACCAGTGAAGCTGCTGGAAAGTTCTAGGCAAGAGAGGCAGCGGGGAGCTGGAAATCCCTTAGTTGTATTCTTCCTTTTCCTTGTGGTTCTCAAAACTGAAGGCTCTCCCCTCATCCCAGAGGACAGCATCAACTTTAGTTCAGACCAAGTGCTAAGCAGGTCTTACAACGTTGCCCTAGCCAGGCTTATCTTCACAGGCAGTCCGGCAGGAGGGAGTATCTTATAATGCTCAGCTGGCCGTGAGTCCTCTCAGCAAAGGTGGCTTTGGGACTCTCTAAGATGAGAAAGGTCCTTCATGCTACCAGGTATCAGGCTGTCCTTGGGAGACCCAGGCGAATGAGAGTCTGCAAGTTGGACTCTGCAGGAGGGGAAGAGTGGTGTATCCTGCAATTCCCTGGCCTGCCTACAAGGAAACCCCATTCTGCTGGAAGGCCCTGAACCAGGAATTGGAAGACAGAGAAGTGTCAGGGCTGAGAAGGGTAGAAAAGGGGGCAGCATTGTCCGGGTCGTGGGGGGTGGGTTCACTCTCAGTCCAGACCTCGGATCATCTCCCCCCTCATTAACATCTCAAAGGGGGAAGAAAGGGGCTGTGTGAGCGGGCAGCCTCCCTTTAACAGCTTCTTCCTCTCTGGAGACAGTTCCACAATTGGAGGGGCCGGTCCAAAGCCGCCTGCCCAGGCTCTGCCAAAGCCACCAGGGCACTGTGGGGCTGCCTCGCCACCTGCTGGTTGCTTCTGGCAGCGGGGCACAGGCGTTCGTGGATTCTTCAGGGTCAGACTGATATTCTAAGGCAGCCAGCATCAGTTTGGAGAAAGCTGGGAACATAAGGGGCTTCAAGATGTTAGGAAGTTTGTGGGGGAATCTCGGATGGAGTTCTGTGTGAGAAGTCGACGTGCTGGGGGCAGGAAGTCTGTGTCACACATACTCAATGAATTCAGGGCCAACTTCCTGGTGAGCTCATGGGTCTCTGGTTCTTACTTCTCCCTATTTTTACCTGTTGAGGGGCAAGAGCATCACTCACCGGTCTCTTCTCAAGTCCTAATGAGTGCATATGATGCGTGATTGAAATATACTGGGAGAAACTCCTCTGGCCAAAGTTATAAGCCCACTGGTGTGCATAGCCTAAAACTCACACAGTAATCATTTCTGTGGATTAGATTGAATATCAAAGTCAAAATATAAACGCTGCCTGGTTGAATCCCTCCACTGCACTTCAGCCTCTTCAGTGTGGCCCAGAAGTACTGAACGCTACATGAGTACCAGGGGCATAGAGACTAGTAAGACCCAAGTTTATCACCCAGGAGCTATAGGGAAGAATGACCAATAGCATAATGGGAAAAATCCTAATCCTGACTGCCCAATATTTGACATGAAGATATTAAATAGGCATGCCTTCAAGGAGCTGCTGTCAAGATTATTAATGTTGCACAGGAAGGATCATGATAGTCTACAAGAATAATATACATTTAAATAGCATTTACCACCTAGTAGGCATCGCCCATGCACTTTTATACTATTTCAGATGTTAACCCTACTTACATACATTAAGTTTATGAGGCAGATACTATTACTATTCTCATTTAGAAGAAGTCACATAGCTACTTCGTGGTAGAGATGGGACTGGAACCCAGGAAGCCTCCCTCTGACATCTGTATTCCTTACCATTGCACCATACTCTCATTTATTAAGCTCAATCTTCATACAAGGAGTCACTTTTCTGAAAAATAGTTGAGTCTGAGATAACATGGCCAGCAGAGAACACTCAAGATCAAGGTAAAATGTTGGGTTGAAGCAGGACAGAAAGCTTCAAGGACTGTGCAGCCATTATGAATATCAGGGAGATGAGCAGTAGTTTATACAGGGTTGAGGACCTGGACGCAACACCTGGGCAGGCATCAGCCCCTAAGCTCAGAACCTAAAGAGGGGGCTTTACTCAAACCCATAAGCAGAATAACAAGGCTTCGTGAGGAGCACCTCCAGGCAGGCAGCAACATTGAAGCTGACTCAGATTGGATCAGAGCAGCAGCGATTCACATGACCACCCTGGTTAAGAAGAGGTGATTTCCAGACAGAAAAGTGAAAACTGATGTCTAAATCTGCTGACCATACTTTAACACTGACTCTCTATTGAGCAAAATGGCAAAGCATAGGTTTAATCATTCTCAGCCTGAGTTGACTTCTGCAGGAATGAATGTGAGTGTATATGTGTATGTTAGAACAACAGAGTTTCTGGCATGCTTAGTGAACTGCATTAATTTGTTCTTTGAATACATAGTTAACTGGGTGCCTACTGCGTGGTCTTTGAGGACATGTACAAGCAACCTTGTCCTTCATTCCCAAAGGCCGTCATGGGTCCACTGTCAACTGCTCTGGTTCCCATCCATATATCCCTCCGCCCTGGGTGCGGCTCGATATTTGGGCTTACTCTCTGAACTGCAAATTCTATGTCTCCAGCTGGACTGATAATAGTTATGACTTCTCAGTTCCAAACAGTTGGGGTAGAGACCTCTTCTCCATCTGCAGTTCCGCAATAAGCAGGAATCTGTTCATGACTACATCTGAGCACCTCCGCTGTGCCTTGAACTTCATGGGTACTCAGTAACAATGTGGTGAATGGCTGCAAGGGGGATCTTGACACAGGTGTCAGGTCTCTGTCCCCAGGAGGCTTACCATCTAGGGAGCTCTGCCTTTGAAAAGGCCGGAAGGCAGGTCATTTCTTTCCACCTTTTGTGTCCAGAGGACAGGCTCTGGCCAGACTGCCAGTACATGGGAGAGCTAGGATGCACACCCAGGCACGCTGGTCCCAAGGGCTTGGGATAAGGACTGGGGACCTGTGTTGGTTTCTCCTACCCTCATAACAAGTTCCTGTTATGCAATGGGGTGGTTGAGGCTGAAAGACGTTGATCTGCCAAGTCTTGCTGGATGTATTTCAGATTTAAGAAGTTTTCTGCTTTTAGAAAGGTAATATGTAACACTTCCAGTGGGCTCTGGACCACATGCCGTATCAAACACGTTAAGATGTTTGCAGCAAATCTTATTAACAAGCACACTGAGTGGAACTTATTTAGAGTATTATAGCCTCACTTGCTTTCAAGTGGGGCTTTGCTGCCCAAAGGATTAGGAAACATTTTCTAGTTTCCAGCATGTGTTGGAGTTTGGATTTGCAGGTGAGAGACTGTGGACCTAAAAACATGGCACAGAGTTGGTTCTGCGTGGCCTGGCACAGGGTCGCCTCTTGGTACTTTGTGCGTCTCCTTCTCTCTATCCAGGCTCCGACCCCACCCAGCTGTCATAATCTTTGCCCTCCATTCCCCTAAAAAGTGAGATTACCACCTTCTCCTCTCTTGCCCCAGAAGGTGGCAGCACCTGCTTACCAGTCTGTGTGGGCATCATCGATCACCAGCAGGACCCGGGGTCTTTGAACAATAGGCGTGGAGGGACCCGGAGGCTCCATCAGCCCCGAGGGGGCCTGAGGGGTCTGTTTCATGGCACTGGAGAGGGAGCTAAAAAGACTGGATCCTGGAGAGGAGAAGGAGGCTGCCAGGGGCTGGGGGTGCCTCCTTTCCATAGCCGGGGAAGCAGGGGAGCTGATGGAGCTATCCGGGCGCTGCAGGTCCGTCATGTAGCCATTGGGAAGGTTGGCCACAAAGCTGCTGTCAGAGAGACGTCGACGGAGGAAATTCATGGCTGTGGATGGATGGAGCTGGCTTGCTCCTACTCAGACGTGTCCAGGTGAGGCCCAGGGCACAGGCTGCCAGGTAGAGGGAGTGGTGGGACTTTGGTCAGAAGAGCCGAAGGGGAATTCTGCACAACCAGAAGTTGGCTTCTGCTGCTTTTGCTTACCTGCTGGAGACAAGCCAACAATCACATCAGTGGAAATGACCTCCTTCCCCTTAAGAGCAAACAGAAAGAGAACTTTTCTGCCCCACTGCTGGTGGCAATATAAATAGGAATATCCTTTCAGAGAGGCATTTGGCAGCATGTGTTAAGAGCATACCCTTTTCACCTACAATTTTCATTTTCTGGAATTCCAACCAAAGGAAGAATCCCAGTTACAGAAAAAGCTGCATGCACAAACATGTTTATCACAGTATTATTTACACTAGCAAAATACTGGGAAATATATCAACATTCAACCACAATTTAATAAGTAAATAAACGACTGCACAGTTACTCAAGGAACTTTTTGTGGCTATTAAAAAGTAATCCCAAAGAAGGGTTTTCAGTAACATGAAAAACGCTCATGTTGCAATGTTAAATTTAAAAGGTCATGATACAATCTCTTTGTACAGTTATAGAACTCTGCAAAAGTTGAAATAACAAAATTTTGGAAATAAAATAAATCAACAGTGATTATATGTTGGCAATGCCAGTACATGTCCTTATTTTTCTTTCCACTTACTTATAGTTTTCAAATTTTCTAGAAAGCATATTCCTGTGAACTGAAATGTGTCCTCCCAAATTTATGTGTTGAAGACATAACCCCAATATGATGGTATGTGGAGATGGGGCCTTTGGGAGGTAATTAGGTTAGTGAGGCCCTGAGGGTGGGGCCCTCATGATGGGAGTACAGTGCTCATAAGAAGAGATACCAGAGTTTGCTCTCCTGCACTATGTGAGGACACAGGTAAAAGGCAGCCACCTGCAGACCCGGAAGAGAACTCTCACCAGAACCTAGTCATGCTTGGACTTTTGGTTTCCAGAACTGTAGAAAAATAAATTTGGGCCACCTAGTCTGTGATATTTTGTTATGGTAGCCCAAGCAGACTAATATGCATATTTATTGCTTTTCTAAACAAAATTAAATAAGTTATTTTTAAACCCACACTGTTCATTTGAGATCAAACTACACCCATTGAAAACAATTACTATTTAGATCATAAGATTAGATTTCAGATTTTTTGGTAAGATTGTTGTATATTTTTATTGACATAAAAGAGTAAAATGCACAAGTTTTGTTTGTTTTTTGCGAGAAAGCAGGATTTATTGAGGACAGAAAAGCTCCCACAGTGGGAGGGGACCCCCGTCTCTGGGGTCAAAACCTGGTGATTATATAGTCCTAAGTTCAAGCTGATTGGCTAGCACTAGCTGTGAGTTGTTGTTGTTCTGATTGGTCAGTACTAAGGACTGATCAGCAGGAGGTAGGGGCCTAATGGGTAGTTCCTAATTATACAATTCTTTGAGTTTTGGTAAATGTATATACTACATATACAGCATATACTGGCAAAATTATTATATTTCTATCGCCTCAGAAAGTTATCTTGAGTCCCTTCTGGTCAATCCACACCGCATCATAGATAAATACTCTTCTGATGTGTGTCACTATTTATTAATTTTACCTGTTCTTAAGCTTCATATAATCAAATATATTACTCTTTTGTTAATAACTGCTTTCCCTCAACAAAATGGTTTTGAGACTCATCTATGTTGTATGTATCAATGATCATTATATCTTTTCACCACAGAGTAGCATTCCACTGGATGGATAAACTACAAATTCTTACTGTTCTTTTGCTGATGGACATGTGAAATGTTTTCTGTTTTGAGGTATTCTGAATAGAATTGTTATAAGAATTTTTTTATTTAAAAAGTTTTGTGGAGACATGGGTGGATGGGTGGATGGACAGATTGATTGAGAGATCTTTTCTTTGAGAAAATAGCTAGGAGTTAATTTGTTGGGTCATACGGGAAGGGCATGTCTAACTTAATAAGAAATTGTCAAGATGCTTTCTATAATAGTTCTTCTATTTTGCATACTCTATTTGAGAGATCCAGTTGCTCTGTATTCTTTTCAACATTTGGTTGTTGTCAAGTCTTTTTCATCTTAGTTATTTTAGTGAGTGTAAAATAGCATCACATTGTGTTTCAAACTTTCTCTGATACTAAATGAGGTTTGGCAAGTTTATGGGTTTACAGGACAGTGTTATATCTTCTTTTGTAAAGTGTTTGTTTAAGTATTTGACACTTTATTAAAAGGCGAGTTGTTTGTCATTTTACTGTTGATTTTTAGGAGTTCTTTATACATTCTGAATACAAGTTCTTTGTCAGATATGTATATTGTAAACATGTTTTATCAGTCTGTGGCTTGCTGTTTCATTTTCTTCATGAGCAACAAACATGTCTATCGGTATGTGGCTTGCTGTTTCATGTCCTTCACAAGCAAAAGTTCAACAGAATAAAATAACTCCAAAAAAAGTGAATTGCTTACTTGAGATAAAAGCACACCAATAAGAAAAACAATCATACCATAGGATGAGCTCATACTTCCATACTTTAGATATCAAGAACATTTAATATATATTTTCTTATAACTAAATATACATACACATAAACATATATATATAAAATCTGTTGTACATACTTGCAGATGTTTTGGTAAACAGAAACTTTTAATTTTTATGAAGTCCAATTTATCAAAATTTTCATTTATGGTTGGTGTTTCTCTGTCTGCTTTTAAAAATCTTTGCCAACCCCAAGGTCACAGTCATATCATCCTTTAGTTTCATACAGAAGTTTTCCAGTTCTAGCTTTTCTGTTTAGGTCCATAATTCATTAAGTTTGATTTCTGCATGGTGTGAGGTAGATTATAAAGTTCATTTTTATCCCCATTCATTTATTCAGGTTGCCAGCACTATTTATTAAAATATTTTTATACAGTGAATTGCTTTGGTGGCTTAATTGGCACCACTGGGCTGTACATACATATGTGGGTCTGTTTCTGGCCTGTAATTTATTAGGCTCCACTACTCTGTCTATTTTTGTACTGTCTTGATGACTGTGGCTTTATAGAAAGTTTTAAAATCAAGCAAAGTGAGTCCTCCAACTTAGATTTTCCTTCTCAAGGTTATCTTGGATATCCTAAGTCCTATTTTCATATTGATTTAAAAATCATCCTGTATGAAAAGTCTGTTGGGATATCGTTTGGGATCGCATAGACTGAGTAGAACTGACATCTGAACAATGTTGAGTTTTCCACTTCATGAACACAGTAGAGTCCTCTATTTATTAAAACTTTAGTTTCTCTCAGACATGTTTTGTGATTTTCAATATAGAGGTCTTGCTTACATCGTGTTAAGTTTATTCCTAACAATTTTGGGGCTTTCTGTGGTGGTTTTAAAATGACACGGTTTTCTAAATTTCCTTGTCCTTTTATTTGCTGCTAGTATACTATTATTGTCTATATTGACAGCATATTGAGGTGTTAAATTTAAGTATTGTTTCTATTAGTGGTCTATAGATATTAACACTTTCTATTTGAACAAATATGTCACCTACAAATAGAAACAACTTTCTTTCTTTCCAATCTTAATGCCTTTTGCTAACTTCACTTCTCTTCTTACCCTAGCTAGGCTCTTCCGTATGGAATAAAAATGACTAAAATAGACAACTTATCTTTTTTCCCAATCTTAGGAGAAAGCAATCCATATTTCATTATTAATATGATGTTAACTGTAAGTTTTCGGTAAATTCATTTTATCAGATTGAGATAATTCCTTTGTGTTATTAGTTGACTGAGAGTTTTTTTTATTATGAATGGGTGTTGAATTTGCCAAGTGATTTCCTAAATTTGTTGAGAGAATTATGTGTTTTTTGATGCATCTATTTGCTTAATAATGCGGTGAATTACACTGACTGATTTTCAGATGTTAAACTTACATTCCTGAGATAAACTCCACTTGAACATAGTGGATTGTCCTTTTTATATATTCATGGATTCAATCTGTTAATATTTTGCTGAGTATTTGCTGTGTCTATGTTCATGACACAAAATAATGGTCTACAGTTTTCTTTTTTGGCAAAGTCTTTGTGCCAGGTTTTGGTATCAGGGTAATGTTGACCTTACAAGATAGGTTGGGAAGTGTTCCCTTCTTATTTATTTTCTGAAAGAGTTTTGTGTAATATTGGCATTATTTAAATTATTGGTAGAATTCCCAGTGAAACCATCTGGGGTTGGATTTTCATGGTGGGAAATTTTTAATAATGAATTCAATCTCTTTTATAAAGTTACCCATATTTTCTGTTTCTTTTTATCTCAGTTTTGGCAATATGTGATTTCAAGTAATTTGTCCATTTCATCTTAGTTGTGAAATTCATTGGCATAAAGTAGTTCATAATATTTCTTTTATTTTCTGTAAGATCTTATGATCTTATATCTCCTGATATTCTTGATACTGATAATTCATTTTTCTCTCTTTTTAATTGATCTATGTCGTTAAGAACTTATATATATATATAAATTCTTTGAAAGAATCGACTTGCGGCCTTTTCAATTTTTGCCGTTGTTTTCTATTCACTTATTTCTGTTCTTGATTATTTCCTTTCTTCTGCTTGTTTTTGGGTTAGGTTTAATTTGCTCTTCTGTTTTCTAGAGTCTTAAGATGGAAACATAGATCATTCACTCAAACTTTTCTTCTTTTCCAGTAAAAGCATTTAAAGCAATGTGCTTCCCTCCCAGAAATTTTCATCATCATTCAGTTATTCTCTATTTCTCTTATAACTTTTGACACATCTCAAAAATGTATTTAATTTTCAGATTTCCGTACTGTTTCAAATATTTTCTAGTTATTGCTTTTTAATAGAATTCATTTGTGATTAATGAACGGAGTCTATAAGGTTTTAATCCTTTGTTATTCATTGAAATTAATTCTAAAGTTTAATACAGTCTATCTTGATGACTGTTCCAGATGCACTTGAAAAGAATGAGTATTTTTGCAGTTGTTGGTTATAATGTTCTACAAATATCAGTTAGCTTGTTGTAAGGTCCTTCAGGAAGCTGACTCTCCCATGGTGACTTGCAAGCAGGATGTTTATTGCAGGGTGTTTCCATGATCAACAACCTTGGGTAA